ATGGTCTGATTCCCATCTTGTTAATAAAAAAATACAACGATAATATTGGCATGGAGCCAGACTAAAATTTGTCACCGGAAAATATTTAAGTACAAAAAAACAGTAACTGCGCATGTTCAGTGCATATCCGGCAAACTAACGTTTACTGAAGGTTTGCCGTCTCCGGCAAAATATCCACTGCCATTATAAATACACTGTCATCGGTCATGACTCTGTATCACTAGATTAGCACTGTATTATATAGTCGGACTCAGACTCTCACTCAGTATCGTCAGTCCACCTAAAACGACGAGGATATGTTTAGATGCACTCTAATTCAATTTGCGTTGGACAACGTGCGCGCGTTGCAAGCGTTATCTGCATCAATTATGGTGACTCGAGGATATTTATATCGCGGCATCCTAGTCTTTTATCGCGGCATGGGAAATGTCTCTTTTTGCGTTGCCAAAACTCCTTCAAGTGCTAAATGTTATCCAGTTCACCAGGCATTAAGAACTTTCTACTGAGTTGTATAAGAAGGACGATTTAACGATTTAACTTTTAACGATTTTTAATAAATTTTAACGTTTTCCAAAACTTGCAAATTTTCCCTCACCGTGTCTGCTAAAAGGTGCCATCTATATTTTAACATGAAAAGTCATGAGTCATAGTTTAATGTAGACCCGTGAACGTGGCATTGTTTACAACGCCATGCTGTTGTGTATTTTTGAACCTAGCGAAATCGATCCGCCTTACATAATTCCGTATGGATGTTGAGTACTCACCTAGAAATCTAAATTTGCCCGTCCGATTGTTCAGGCTGTGTAATTTCGACGAAATTTGCCATCAATAAAGACCCATACGAACGTGTAGAAATTAGATTTTAACCTGACAAGTGACCCTGACAAATGACCTCGAACGAGTACCCGAGTCATTTGCGTGCAAAATTATCGGAGCCCTCTGAGCTACCCGTCTGCTTCCTGTCGCTTGGACAGATTGACGGCTGTTTCATGTCGCAACCCCCGAAAAAAAAACCCCGCAGACGATTGGCTGCTGGGCTCATCTCGTGTACGTGTGCGCCCGCGGGCGGTGCGGTGAGAGAGGAAAGGACTTGAAACTTGTCTAAAATGATGTCTCTTTTAGCTGCGACAGTAAACAGCCGTCGAATCATACGAAACAGGACGGTACAATAAAACGCAATGCGCATGCGTCAGTTGGGAGAAAATGGCAGCTAGAAGGACTTCATGAACCGGGGCCAGAATTTTCCTCAAATTTCGTCAAATGCAAGTTTTGACGTACAAACAGATTTCAAGACAGCTTCATATGTGAGTACTTATTACATGGGCAAAATAACGTCCATTGTGTGTAACGGAGGGAGTCAGAGGGACAATTTCGCCAGGTTCGAAAATACACAACAGCGTGGCGTAGTTTACAAGCCACGTTCACGGGTCTAAGTTTAATGGTGCTCTTTCCATGAAAGGTCCACTGTCTGGTTCCCATTCTACAGCTGCAAACACAAAAGGAAGTTGAAGGACGATATTTCCACCGTGAAATCGTAAGAACTTTTATGGGATCAAAATAAGGACAGTGCGTAAAAAAAAAAAAAACCAGCACACCAAGTAAAGTGAATGGCGCCCCCAATCACCAATTAGTAGACTTGTCTCAGAGAGATTGTTCTTTCGGGGGAGGGACAGGGCCTTAAGAAATCATCCTGTAGCCTAGGCAATAATCAACTTGAACTTTATCAGGGAAAATATCAGACTTTATTCAGGGGATGTTTTGTCAAAGTAAAACACTCATTAACTATGAAAAAAAGTTGAGGTCACACCAGCGCAGAATCATTTTGAAAAGAAAGAGTTATAACACAAAAGACAGGACAATTCGGGAAGGTTATTGGGCAATCTCTTTTCCAAATGAGAAATGTGACAAGTACCACGATAATACGGAGTCCCATCTTATTACAGTAGTGGCGGTGGACTCTCACATATTGGGAACAATTGGGGGGGGGGGGGGAATATATTTTGACAGCCCCAGCCCGAATTTTGTTTTGGGAAAAATGAGGCACCCCCCCCCCCCCGAAAATCATCAATTAGGCCTACTACTACTTGCTAGTAACTAAGTACCTTTTGCCCTTGACTATACACAGACACCTCCATATGATCGTAAATAAAAAATGCCAACAATTTACAATTCCTTACTTACACCTACTAGCCCTATTTTGAAATGCCGTGTGATGGGAAGCAGAATCATTATTTTAGTGTTGGTCTAAGCCACTAGAGCAACTTAGAAGTGTAGTTTTTATGAATAAGAAATGTATCATGGTAGGTGCCACTGGTAGGTGATGATAAAAGCATGATTGCCGCAAAAAGACTAATTTGATAGTTTTCTATTGACATAATGCGCCTATCAATTGTTCCCCCCCCCCCTTGCCTGCCACACCCCTCGTGCAAAATGTAAGTGACATTCCGGGCTTTCTAGAAATTGCCTTTCCATGTCTAGCTCGCTTCAAATACTTTGGAGTTGGTCTCCAGTGCTATTTTTTTCTGACAAAGTGCATTTTCGTGGATATTTTTCCCTGCTTTGACATAACGAAGCATGTACTGAGCAAACACTTGGATATTTTCAGACCAGTCTCATAGGGTTTGTGTTAGGGGTGTGCATTTACAGGTAGTACAGGAACCAGGTACTCTATTGAAAACAATACGGGTCCCCGGGTACCCGTTAAAGAAACCCAAGCCAAAAATTCAAATCTGGGAAGTTGCTGTTCAGATTGTTCATGAAATAAACTGTCCATGAAATAAACAGTGCTGCTAATGTTATTTCAATATTGCCTGTTAAAAGCGATTCCAATATAAAATGATTTGTCTTCCTCTTTCATAGGGCTGTGAACTTGAAGCATTTAGTCAAGTGATCTACGGTGACTTGCAGGGCCTGTGTCAGGCCACAATTTGTCAACAATAGGGACTATTGTCACCACTCCAATGAATCCGGTAAATGGCATTCATGAGATCGATATGCCAAAGTCAAAGTTACTGCACAGACAAAGTGAGAGCGCTAGGAAGAGAATGGAGCACTGCCAATATTTGGTAAGTTACATTAATAGCAGTGAGTCTTATAAGCACCAAGTTAATACACATAGACACATCAAAATATTCCGCCTGAAAAACAATAAGGTGGGGAGGGCTACAAGTTGACATTTTAGTGACCCATCTGCAATACCACTTTCATTTATCATTTTATGGCTCACTGCTGTCACTTATTATAATGACAAGACAAACTCTGTTGTCTAGTGGAGTGGGATTCCCATCTATATACTAAGACTACTAATAAGCAATATTGTTTTTTTCATATGCTTATTTGATTGAAATTCTCTGAATTATTCATTTTTCTCTAATTCTGTTTGTTTTAGGCAACAGAGTCTCCGGAGCCGACATATGACCTGTCCCGTTGTGAGCTGTATGAGGTACGTGGCAAGCATGGACACTATGGCAATTTGGGAAGGGAAGTAATCCGGCCAAAATATGTCTGTTGTCTCTTGATCAGCAAGCACATAATTTGTGGGAACAACAATATGTACATGCAGAACTGTTCAATGTACTTTTATTTCAAGGAAATTACCACTTTACTTGATAGACCTTATGCGTTAAGGCGGAGTCAGAGGGCAGTGGTTTTGTATTGCTTGGATAGGCATTACTGAACTCTGTGTGTATTTATTGTCACTAAATTAAAATTAATAAAGAACTTGTGAGATACCTGCAATGCATATGGTCTAAAAGAAGAATTGACAACATTTTTATTAAATTTAGTTTTGTTTCTAAACACATTCTGTTTGTGTTGCTTTGTATACTTAACTGTTCTTCAGGTTCCAAGTGGTACATTCTCAATGTGCAAGGTTTTACGGAAAGAAGTAAGTTATCAACACATGTCCAATTCTATGTACCAAAACCATCAATGCATGAAGAATACAGGCAATTCCCAATACAGTGCACCATCAAGAGTTTGCCACGGAGAGTCAATTTTTTAAGTTTACAGTCAACAAGAGCATGGCTTACTTGCCGTGATTTGAAGGAATGTCAGTAGACAACTTGAGGAAATTCTTGACAGATCAAGGCAAAGCATTCTTCCACCTCACCAAAAACATCATTTTGATAAAAAGAAAAAGATACTTGAATCAAATGCTTAGGAAACTCCTGAGCAGACAAACAAACCATTTTATCGCTCGTATTCTGTAAGTATTATATGTGTCATTGGTATAGTGCATTATCCTTTTAGATTAATTTCAGATCACATTAAATTGAGGAAAATGAAGGGAAAAAATATGGGCAAGCTTTAAAGTTCAATATTTATTACACCAAATAATTATCTCACAATCTGAAAGGAAAGGTGATGAAACATCGCAGCCACAGACACAATGTATACCATGGAAACATGAGAATATCTGCTTACCAATACTGGATCCTTAGTTTGCGTATTGCAGGCTCCCCTTTTTAGAATGTCAGTAATTTATTAAACATATCATTACTAAATGATTGATTAACCCTAACCTCCTAGGCACTCTGGCTAGAATGCAACCTCAATCCTGCAAAGTCCTCCAATTGCCATCCTTTAAAATCATCCGTTATTTCTTGAATTTAGTCTGTTGGAGTCAATCCTCCAAAATCCTCTGCCAATTACTGCTATGGTTTGAGGCAGTGCGAATGGCGTTTAGAAGCAGTGCGGGTGAAATACGAGAAAAACACTGGGCTGATTTATGCATGGCTGAACATAACCAATGCAGGATATGGCCTACTGGCTTGACATAATGCATCCTCAACAAAAAAGCGATACATCTTTGCCATTCATCCTCAATCCTCTAAAATCATCCAAACCGGCAGGAGGATTTTGGAGGATTGAGGAGGGTTAGGGTCATTAATGTCACTTTCTTATCTTCTCAATTTCAGGCTCTGATTTTGAGTGATAATCTCTTGTCGTCACTATCAGGAGGCGGCAATATTAAAGATTTAGCAATGCTACGGGTAAGCACACAACTTATCTTACCAGATTTGAATTTCAGTTTTAGCAATGAAGTTGCAAAAATGCAGTCCAATAGAGTATGTGGAAAAGTCTTCTTTGTATTTTGTGTAGAATTCAGTACAGTTCAAACAAATCTTCTTAATTGTATGTTTACTTTTTTCATTGGCATACATGTAAAAGGTACATTTTGTACAGCTGTTGGAACATTAACAGTCTGAAGTTACGTTAAGAATGAGGAAGACCAATCATCAATTGGTTTCAAGTTGTAAACATTTCAATCAATGAATTTATTTATTTATATCTAAGGAGTGATGTTTACACGTTTAAAATTTTAAACGAAAAAAAATCTAAATCCATTTACAAATTTTCCAAAATGTTTAAACAAAACCCGAAGTACAAAAAGGGACCTACATTCACACAATTTTTCTTTGAGTTATTATATAGCACAAAAAGTTAATGATGTTTTCAAATTTGTTCAATTTCCAAAACTTTAGAAGCACCACAGTGCTTGATTTCATTTGGGGTACATGTAGTTAAGTTTTTACTTTCTCAATGACTGCCTGCTATTTTTTTTTTCATTGGTTGTTGATTTGTCGTGTCAATCACGCCAGTCTACAGACATAATGGGCAGGCATCAGCATTTGTGAAATGGCTAAACGTTTAAACGGTATTTTAAATATTTGTTAAACGTTACAGTTAAACGCCAAGTCATATCCATATTGCTGTCATTGTTTGTTCATTGTTTAGGTGCTGGATTTACACAGCAATAAGTTATCAGAGATACCCGATGCACTGACAGGTATCAGTGGATTGCAAGTCTTAAATCTGGACAACAATCAACTCAAGAAGCTTCCTCGTGATACGGGCAAACTACAGGCTCTGCAGACACTCACTTTCAAAGGTACTGGCTAATGAAAAGCTAAATGTTACATAATGTCAGGCGTTCTGGCAAAATCAGACACATCTGACTGAGAAGAGTTTGAAATGAGAGTTTGTGGGCTTGAGCAAGAGAATAAAATTCGTCTTTCTGTTTGTTGCACTTCAAGTATTTGACTGTTTAAAGCTCACATTTATCGATATGTCAAAAAAGTAAAATACTGAGAAAGGGCACTCTAAAGTTTCAAGTTTTGTATTCGTGGAAATGAAAGATGACAATTTTTTTTTTTTTAAAAGACCTTATTCCACAATTTTTATACTGTTTTGTAGATTACAAAAATCAGTAAATCTGAAAATCGAAAAAATGCACCCAATTCGGTGTTTGCATGTTTTCTACTACGCCCATACAGGTCCTTCTCATTTTGCCAGAATGCCTCACATAATGTGCACACATTGCCCAAAGTGAAGCATATTGGGAAACTATAGACATCTGTAGGTACAGTAGCAAAGGACATTAATAGAAAGTACAGCATTGCAGACATTTGTTATACTTTACACAGATTTAAAGCCTCCTACTTATGGAACTTTCGCTAACTGTCAACAAATCAACCCGCTTCCTGTAGCTTTTGTTTAGGCTGGTCACCAACTGCCAGAACCCCTATGGATTAAACCACATAACTGTCAACACCTGTCGAAGGGGTTGGATAGATTGGGTGTCCTTGCATATTGCTACAACGTTGACAGTAATTCTATGGACCTTATTTGTAGCAGCCATTGCCCTCACATAAAGCGCAATGTTTTTATATTGCTAAGATATGCACAAGTGTACCTGGTGTGCCTTTATTGTTACTGAATTAAATCAATCATTGCAGACACTCACCAGTACTTTAACCCACCGTATATACCTTCAGTCAAGGCACGGTACCTTCATTCATTTAACCAAATTGCCACAACCAGTCAATTGTACCATTATGAGGCCAATGTACTAAACTGTTAAAACCAGTCCCTTGATAGATTTTGACAGATAGGGTACCACTCACCATGTTGTCACTGAGAGAGGGAGGGTTAATCTTTGGTCTTAATTTTCCTACCGGTAGTATCTGTTGATGATGAATAGCAATCTTACTACTGTTACATGTTTAATCCCTGCCGAAACAGGAAACCAAGTGAAAGAACTACCAGGGACTATTTGTCTGATGAAATCTTTGAGAACGTTGGATATTTCGGACAATAAGATCAAGGACTTGCCTTCTAAACTTTGCTACATCAGGACACTTGAGGTGAGTAGTTTATGTTCACAGATGTTTAGTTATTAAGTTGTAGGTTTGTGTTGAGTCACATCAAACACAAGTAGGCACTGCTGTTTAGGAAGGTTTGAAAAATAGTATGCCTCGCATCCCCATTAGCTAGCTATGTAAAGTATTTTCCATGTGCTGTTTAATGTAGGGTTGTGCATTTACAGGTAGTACGGACACTAGGTACCTGATTGAAAAAATCCACGGGTATCCAGGTACCTGTGTAAAGAATCTCAACCCCGGAACTCAGATCTCAGAAATTGGTGTTCAGATTTTTCATAAAGGTCCGCACAATAATACTACCACATCAGTGCATCAATGCAGCACGATACAGGCGTGTACAGTGAGCTTTATAGCTTTCTTGTTAAAACGGCAACTTTTGCAAGCATCATAAACGTGAAATATGTTGTTTTTTCACATAGACTGGTTTTCATTTTGAAAATTCCCAACAAATGGCATTAAAAATCTTTCCTTTTCATTATCTGAATAGTAACTAAATAATTTGTAAAGTTGGTTGTGGGTACCAGATCCCATAATCTGGAACCAGTTCCTGACATTAGCAGTCGGGTACCCGGTTCTGATGCACAGCCCTAGTTTAATGTTCTTGTATTTGTCTCCTTTTATGATAACACCCACATAATATTCTTTCACTTGATCAGCCAAAGCCTGTCTTGTCGTGTTATTTACTATATCATTAAAAAACCAAAAGTTTATGGTTTTGTTTCTTGTGTTTTGTCTACAGACTTTGAGTCTAGATGCCAAAAACATGAGACATCCAATAGCGAGTATCTGCATGCAGGGAACTGAAGCAATTATGAAGTCACTTTGTGCAGGTAACAATTGTTGTCCTAGAGATTCTGAAACAACTCTAGGCAAATGTTCCTGGGAAATCCTAGAAAATTTATCCTAATAAGCATCTGTACTTATGACATCACACTTTGTTTACACGTGTGCTTTTTAAGGTACCGGTACCTGGAGGGGAGATAACAGTTTTGTAGCCCCATAGAAAAAGCGCACGTAAACTAAGCGTGATGTCATCAGAACAGAGGCATGCGGATGTATAATTACTGGATTTATGTATTCACCCTGAGACAAACTAATGTCCCTAATCAGCTTTGGGTATATAACTTCTTTCAGAGTGTGGCACTGATTATAGCCCACCATCGCAACATGTTCTGAATGTGCTGGACCCTCCTAAAGTCTCCCCCTCTGAAGACAAGCCATCATCGCTTCGAAGTCTTGAAGAAGAAGAAGCCAACTTGAGTAATAGTATCATGCAGTATGAGAAAATCCAGGTAAAGAAATTGGCAAATAGCCTAACACATGTACATTCTGTGAAGTTGACAACATGTTTAATTCCTTAGCTCCTTTGGTCAAGCCCTTCGCAGGAATTGGTTTTGTGGCATTATTTTGCTCATTGGTTTTGTGGCATTATTTTGCTCATTTTCAAGTTTAGATTCATCAAAAGAATCCATTGACCATTGTTGTCAAATCTTTAACTGTATGTTTTTTATACATAAATTTTGTTATTTTTTTATGCATTCAGGAGAGTAAAAGATTGGAGAGGATGAGACTGGAAAGAGAACTTGAAGAAATGGAGAGAGAGCAAGCGCAACTGGTGACTCAGACGGACAAACGACACTTGGGATTGCTCAAGGCCCTCGAAAAGGTAACCATTCTCAACCTCTGTTTCATCAGAGTCAAATTTTCTTTAGTGATGCCTGACCAAAAGTTGAAACTAACCACCAAAAACTGTTGTTGTTCAATGTTCAGTTTTGCCCTTCCCAGACGTATAAACACTGTATACTCAGTGTGTTACCTTCCGTAGGAAAGTTGGAAAAAATCACTCGGGTGGGACTCGAACCCACGACCTCCTGCTTTCTAGTGCAGACATATTACCACTCAACCTCCAAGCTTCCCAGATGGGTTGGCTGGTTCAAATTGGATGTAGCAGCAGGTACCACAATGAAACTATTCATACGATGGAAATTGCGTCGGGTCGATGTAAATCAATATTAAGTTTTGCTCTTCACCAACGTATAAATATTGTATACTCAGTGTGTTGCCCCCAAGTGAAAGTTGCAAAATTGGATGTAGCAGCAGGTACCACAATGAAACTATTCATACGATGAAAATTGCGTCGGGTCGATGTAAATCAATATTAAGTTTTGCTCTTCACCAACGTATAAATATTGTATACTCAGTGTGTTGCCCCCAAGTGAAAGTTGCAAAAATCATTGTTACAAGACAGAAAACCACATTGTTTGATAGGCAGTGATTTTAGAAGGTGGTCACTGAATGCTGAAAATATATAGTCATTGCTTCAGCTGGAATTGCAGCCTCATTTTTATTATCAAATAGATTATTTCAGATATTTTAATGTGATACAAATCTGGACCCAGTTTCATGACTCTGCTTATCATTAGCAAAAAATCCTGTTTACTGTAGCAGAAAATTCCTTGCTTATGGTGAGAGCATTTTATGGGTTAGTGAGGAATTCTGGCTTAACGGAGGATTCTTTGCTTACTGGGTAAGAGCAGAATGGTTCTGCTAGCGCTGTTAGCACAATATGGTGAGCATAAGCACGGAATTCTGTGGTTAACAACACCATGAAATTGGGCCCTGGTCTAATTTTTAACCTGTCAATTTTCTGCAGGAGCAAGCTGACTTGGATTCAGGCATTAAAACGCTGCAAGAGAGAAGTGACATAGAGAAACAAAACTTGCTCTCTATGCTACATGATGGTATGAAGCCCATTGGATTGACATGCATTGTCATAAACACTGACACCATTGTAGTATCTAATAAAGGCCTGTTTACACTAGACAAATCTCAGGGGTTGCAGCAGGGTTGAAAATATGCAGCATTTCACACTTGAAAATTTTGAACTTTGCTTCAACTTTGCATCAACCCTGAGATTGATTTTGCCCCTGGTTGAACTCAATCCTGCTCCAGACCAGGGTTTTGATTATCATTGGGGTTGAAACTCTCGCCAGGGTTCAAAACAGTAGTAACTGAGTCAAATAAACTAATTTTGCATGTAACAAGTGTGAATGATTCAGGGTTGGACGCGGGGTTGAAAATAAAAATTCACTCCAGGGTAGCACTGGTTTCGCACAGGCTTGAGAGGCACTAGTCTGAAAAGGCTAAAAGTGACATGCTCTTGGTTAAATAAAAACTGAATTGGAATGTCTTTGCTTATAGGAACAATTGACTCATGCTTGATGAATGGTTCTCCAGAGCTACCAAAGAATGTCTTCTTGACAGAATTTGTGTGGGGCATGAAAATAGTTTATGGAATATCCTCTTTACAGCAAAAGGGTCTATGATATGTTAGCAGATTTGACAATTAATTATGCAAAACAAGATTGCGTCTTGACCTTAAGATTCTGACCATTCAGCGGGCGCCTTCTATCGGGTCTCGCGGTAACTTGGTTTTGTTTTACAAAAACATGGCTGCTGAATTTACCAATCAACAGCTTTGTCCACATTTCTGAACGAAATGATGTCACAATTTCTAAGTCGACTCAGATTAGCTAGCGCGCTGGGTCGCACAAATTTTGCTTTGCTCACATGTATCATGCATTGGTTATGTAGAGGGCTCCGTTGAACAACGGATGATACTCAGGCATGCATTTTTAAGGAAAATATATAAAAGTAAAGAGCAGAAATAATATCCTGATCCCAATTATCATTGTGGATACACAAAAGCCATTGAAAACAGGATAGTTTATCTGAAAGGCATAGTTCTTTTTTATTGTCAAAAGTTAATTTGGATGAATCTGCAACAAATTTGTTTATGAACAATATTTGTGTATTTTTCTTTGATAGTTGAAAGACAGTCTACTGATCTTGTTCACCAACTTTTGGAGATTAATGAGAAGTAAGGAAAATATGTTTAAGACCTACAATAACATATGAGTTAAATTTTGTTTTCTTCTGTGAATATTTGCTAATTAATATCAACTGCAAGACTGTTTTGAATTGATTGGGTAATTAGGAAGAAAGTACATTTATTGCTAGCAGTAACATTAAGTTACATCTGATGGGCCCTCAGTTGTTAAGTGTGATTTAATGGCAGGCACTTTTTCTTTAGTTACAACACGTTGTCTTAGGTTGTGAAGCAAGGCTTATAAGATGACTTTGTTTTTATTCCCACAAATTATTAGGAAAAAATGACATTTTGACTGCCACAAGTAAATGAAGGACTGACCTTGATACCATGTTACTGTTTTATTTCTGCTATACCGTGTTATTTTGTGTAACTATATTATTTCTGCTGATTAAAATTAACCAAGTTCAACATTGTGGAATTTTTTTTCTCACAGAGCGCGGAAGAAAGAAGCTCTTTTGGATCAATTGGAGAAGGAAAGGTAATGTCCGCTTCGATGTATGTGGTGGATGGACTTTATATCGCAAGACTTGCAGAAGATTGAGTCATGAGAGTATAAGAACAAGACGTGCTTGCTAAGCTAAGCTCAAAATATTCACATGAGTCGTAGAAAGACGATAACATTTATCTTGTTAAGGTTTGAAAAGCAAAGAAATGCAGAAATGGAGTGGCCGTTTTTGCCAGATATTGATAATCACTGGGTGTGAAATCTCAGCTTTAAAGTTGATTTCAGTTTTTTTTTTTTTTGGATTTCAGCTTTTTCCCCTCACTTGCTGTGTACAAAATTATAGGAGATTTCCAAAGTTCAGCTTTTTTACACCTTTTTCAAGTGTTTTTCGGCTCTTTTTATCAGTGGTCACTCACACCCCTGTTAAATCAGCAACGATGATAAACTTATTTGACTGGGATATCTGATTGTTCTTCTTTGTCACATCTAGGATGGAGTTAGATGCCACATTCCTTGTGGTCTCTGAGGAACATGACCTCTTACGAGAAAAAGACATCTTGAAGTTTATGCAAGTCATCATGAAGGAGAACTTTGAGTTGGATCAGCTGAGAAACAGATATGATAAACACAAGGAGAACATTAGAAAGGAAGCAGAAGACAGGTAATGAAATGACTAGCATCAGTAAATAGACCTTCTATAGACCCTTGGCATGGCAACCATCGTGGAGGTGACTGCGTTTGTTCCACAGGGATAAAGCCTGACTAAATATCTTGTGTGTTCGTTGTTACTGAATACATTTATCAAAGCCTAACAATTGCTGCTTAATGCAAAGGGTCTATGCTACAATTCTATGAAAGCAAGGTCTTACGAAGTATCAGCGTGATAGTTAACAATTGTTGACTGCTGTGATGTGGGATATGCCCAGGGGCGTATAGTTCTCCTCGGGTACTTTACGCCCCAAGAGGTTATAAACAACATTTATATCCCACATCCAAGAAGTCATGGTTTTGTTATAGAGATAAACAGTTGGTAACTTACTGTGCGAGAATTAAATGAAATCACTGCGATGTAACCTTTGATAACTTCAGGATTTGCTGCTAAACACGAGACTGATGAGCACATGGGCAGGTTCTGTACGCGCGGCTATGCGCACAGTTTATAGGTATATGCAGTATTACGGACTACACATGTGACCGTCCTAATCCAATGAAATTCAGGTATTCATGGACACGATATAACAAATATGATGTGCATCTTGTCTCTGATTGTTTTACCAACATAAGTGCCATTATTTTTACAAGTTGCCAACAGGGAACTATTGTGCATCTTTTTTTTTTGACAATTCTATGTCTGATGACATTGTAGTTGAGTTCTTGAGTGTGCCACGGACTTTGGGTAAAAGAAGTGAATGAAGTAGCAATCACACAAATAGACAATGTGATAACGTTCTCAATCTTTCATTTATTTGACCAGTGAAAATGTTGCATTTAATCAGCTGAGCTCACAGCTTCACGCTAAGCAGCTAAACAACGATGCTATTGTAGCCAACCTGATGAAAGCTGAAGAATTCCAACGAGAAGCATTTGAGATGTTGCTGCTTAGCAAGGATGCTAAGCATAAGCGACTGACTGAGGAGGTAGGTATCTAGAACAGGCTGACTTCCAATACTAATGTTGCCGACTTCAGTCTCCTGACCAAGGGCAGAGCATACTATCTGAAACGTTGACTTTCCCCAGAACCTCACAATCTCACAAGTTCACAAAAGAGATTTGTCACATGGTGCTACTGTAAACCTTTATCATATTGCTACCTTCATCATGCAATTGCATCAAATCTTATCAAACTCGCTGTCCTAACTTCTTTCTTTGTAGATCTACATGCTGCAACAGCAACTTGCTGAGGTGACTATGGCTGAGCTAGAGAAACAGTCTGTCAAGGCTGAGTCAACTAACATTGCTCTGGAGCAGAAGAGAGAGGATCTGGCTGCCTTGCTGAAACAGCTCATGATTGAGAGAGAAGATCGAGAAGAAGAACTCAAAAAAAGACTGGTGAGTCACAGGCTCAGTTTGATAGGGCACACCGGGGGTCAGTTACAAATTAATGATTTAGGAACAGTTCATGGTTGGCACTTAAATCAGCTGCAAGCTCCGTTAGTCAGTTAGAGGCTGTCTTTATGGCTCTGAGTAAGTTGTGACATCGGAATCTTTATGATTCAAAATTCAAAGATAAGTTGATCGGCAGCCGGGAAAAGCTACCGAAAAACGTCTGATTCCTTCTACAATGGGTCTACTATGCATGATGTGTTTGGTGAACAGTTCCAGTAGTTTAAAGAAATGTAATTGTTGATTTATAAGATGACAGTTGAATTGTTTCCATAGCTGGAGATGGAACAGAGACGTGAGGATGATGTCCAGGACTATTGGCTGATCCAATTCCAGAGACTGATGGATCGTAAGCCACAATCACTTATTGATCAGGTTGGTGAGATCAATAATTTGCTAATTTTAGAGGCAAATATACAACAGAGTAAAATCAATCATAATTCAGTTAGGTCAGTAATATAATTCTCGAATGTAGTAACTTTTAAATGCCATCAAATTTCAATTAGGCTTTGTAGTTTCCTCAGTAGATTGAAAATGCAAGCTTTGTGGTCTAGAAGATGAATTGTGTAACTGTAAGTGACTTCATGGAGAGATACTTGTAGTTGGCTAGTCAGTCGCTACAGGCAACAACCAATTGTATCTTCTGGTCACCTTCTGGAGTACACATAGTGTAGCTTTCCTGGAGCTATCCCCAAAGACATTAGCCTTCAGATCCAGCAGCTTGCTACCACTTTGGAAGAGCTGCTTCCACCATTCCATCTACAGATTGATGGAGGGTAACAAGTGATGAGTCGAAGTTTGAATATTTAAAATATTATTTGTTGTCCTCTTAGGAAAACAACTTGGAGTTTTCAGTCTTGGAAATCTTGAACAGGTCAGGAGCTGATGATTACATTCCCATGTTTGCTCGACATCGAGTTACCATAGAAACCATGCTACAATTGACAGACAACGACTTGAAAGAGGTAATGCACTTATTATACTTTAACCCTAACGCTCCTGAATCCTTCTCAAGCCTCCTTAATCCTCCAGGCGAGTTTGGAGGAGCTTGGAGGATTGAGACTAAATGGCAAAAATGTGTTGGTCGGGTTTGAAGGATATAATGTAGTGTAGAATTTGTAGGCTGTTCCCAGCATTATGTTCAGCCATGCATAATTGAGCCCTGCATTATGCTCAATAAATATTTACCGGATTGGAAATATTTTCTCGTTGTTGGAAAGCTAATGAACTAGACTCTCTAAATATATGTTAGTGTTTGCGATATATTTTATGAAAGCTGTAAAAAAGAGAGCGCTTGGAAGGTTCAAATTTTTTTGAACACCCTGTATCTTGAGCAAACAGCACCTGAAAATAGTGCTGACTACAACATATTGACATCCAGCTCTCATCTCTTGTTACTTGCAGATTGGTGTTCATGAAGTTGGCTTACGTCGTTCTATTTTATCAAACATTGCTAACTTCACCAAAGAGAGGGATAATGCGTCACTTAAAGCCAAGGAAATGGAGTCTCATGTTGATGTTCCCAGAAGAGATCCAACAGCGCCCTCTATTGATGAAGCTGGTGCAAGCGCAGTCGCAGGTGCAGCCCTTGTGAAGGAAGTCACTGTTCGGGTCAATGCTGAATGCGTTATCTGTATGGAGAATAACGTAAGTCCTTGTCATTTGACGTAGTAAATTTCTTGACCAATTAAAGTTCCTATATTTTATTCAGACACATTATCGTACGATATGTCAAGGTGTGGATTAAGTGGCTTGAGAGCCACCCACTCTAGGCTTCTGGGTGTTTGATAATTGGATTGTTAAGGGAGTAAATGTAATTGCAACTAGTTTCATAATTGGAATGTTCTTGTCTCTGTTTCCGATAGTCGGATGTTCTCTTCCTGAACTGTGGCCATGTCTGTTGCTGTGGTACATGCTCTGGAAGTTTACGGCTGTGCCCACTGTGTAGGAGCGACATTCACACCAAGATCAATATGCAGAAATCAAGTCAGTCGGTGATTGGTGGATGTGTAGACTAGCCCGGTAGGCAGATGAGTACAAAGGTATGGAGAGTTGTTGGTGTTTGTAAAGTGAAGAGGCAGGTTTTGCTTGTAGTATGGTGTCCAGGGTATGATGCATGAAGGAGTGTCAAGGATCCTTGTTGATCTTCATCTTGTACATGTTAGGCGTGATGGGTGGATCTGTACAACTGGTTGATAGCGCCGCCATCAGTTGATAACCTCTACTTTCTACTTCACAGCTCTGGAGGATTGTTTAGAAAAAGGGAAACAACTTCTGATTTTCTACAGGAAATGGACTGATCGCGCAAGTGCATCTCTGCACAATGGAGTAATCGCGCAAAGATACGCAGATCCACTGATTATGCCCAACACAGAATCTGTCCATACACTCCATACATTGTATTAAATTGTACATAATTCAAACCCACCTCATGTACAGTTTTCTTTTTCAAGATGAGTTTGTATTCTATTCTCCAGTCTAGCATGTCTCAAGAAAATTGATTTTTTAACATTGACAGTGATGAACCCGTCTATGCACCTATCGCTAGTTTTACGGATGTACGGTTATAACAATTGTATGATGCAAAAACAAAAAGTTACATTATCAGTTTTGAGTTGCTGAAAAGTCCCATGTTGACAGCCGCTGCAATGTCAAACATACATTTTGATCACATGGTTTTACTACATGGCCAAGGTCCTTCTTTGGGCCCTGAGTAATCCAAGTGCCGACGCACAGTAGAATAACCACAGTGGAATGTTAACAATCACTGAGGCCCCCCAAAAAGGCTCCATTTTCTGATATGGAGCTTGCCCCAAAGGTGTTTCGGCGACCCTTTTTTTTTGTTCCCCTACTTTATTTTTCGTCAGTGCACAGAAGTCAGAACAAAGTTGTCAGCTGATATTGCAGATGACGCTTAGATCCCTTTAAACTCTGAAAATATCCTTCAGGTTGTAGCTTGAGGTGACCTCAGTAAAGGCCCCAAGGTTTGAGAATTCTGCGCCCACTTACGATCTCGACCGACATGAATATTCTTTGAAAAATTTAGATAACAAGAAAAACATCACTTTAGTCTGCCCCCTTACATATTGAGCTAATTAAAAAGCATTTACAGGTTCCAGATGCACGACCATCTGGCTTCCAGACACACAATTACAAAATTACAACAACGTCTGCAAAAGTTGCCCGACTACTTTAAGTGCAAAATCCATATGGGAGACAAGAGAGGCCACATAAAGCTTATACTCGATCTTAACCCCATCTAAAACATGTTAAAATAGTGCAACTTTTTAATTTTGCAGACACACATTGCTATGGCGATGCGTGCAGAGACCAGAAACCAGATACTTTTTCGGGGGGGGGGGGGGGGGGGGCTAAACTTTTTACAATAGTAAGTCCAATGCAAACTCTAATTTGGATGTTTTACATCACACACCAAATGCTTATTGTTTATTGTCATTGAACCAAATTCTTTCAAAAATCCATGATGTTGCTGTGATTATCTATTACTTTTAAAAAGTTTAATAATAATTGGACAGCTATAGAGAATATATCATCTAGATCGTCTGTAATGGCCATGGTAAACTTGACATGTATCTGAATAACCTCCTACAGGGTTCCTTTTTTTTGTTTTCTTAAAACCAAAAAGATTTTAAAAGTTTACAATTGAGATTAATATCTTCATGTAAGGTGTTTATTGTTATATGATGGTAAAAGGTATAAAGCTATATTGGCTACTTCTATAGGCATTTTACTATGCCAGACAGTTTTATTATTTTACGGAAAGTCTTGATCTTAATTTCTTGATCTTAAATGATCTTTTGTAAACGTCTTTATCTCAATTTTGTGACTTTTGTCAGGTAACATTAACAAGTAAATTGAGTCATAAAAGGAAAACACCCAATATAACTTTAATCAGTGTTTATCATGGGTAAACTTCAACCAAATTAAAAGATAAACTACCGTCAACTTCTTTTGAAATAAGAATGTAGTAGAAAATAATATATCACTGAAAATATATCAGTGATTGCATGCAGTGTACATATACAGTACTGTAATTAGAAATGTCTTTATACTGTATCAGCTTCCAATTGTATAGGCCTTGTAACAATGAATAAAGTATTTTGGGCTATCAGCCTGAGGGTTTGGTAAGTATCAAATCAGGGCACAAAAGATTGCTGTGCGCATGTACAAGGTATACCGGCCTTAGGGTGCATGGTAACAAGCATTTTGATGGACATTTTGAAAAAAAGGGTGATAACCAAAAAGCTGCCACCATTGCAACGCTATCACATATTTTCCAACTCTGGAGGTGTATACCAATGCCAAAAATTACTAAGACGTTTATTCCCCTCATTTGATACCGGTGGCCATAATTTTGGAACGAGGCCGATGGCCTATTTATTTTAAAGCATGATAGTTTCATCATTTGCCTCATGTTCTACTTGCTCACCAAAGTCAGTCAACAACTTGAGGCAGAATATACTTGTAATAAGAAGTGCCTTTCTCACAATAACCATAGAATAGAGACATGTTGAATTTAATCTGTTGAAAGAGTGAAATAGATTGCATTCATGTAAAGGGTAGGGGTGTAGAATAAGCCAGTTTGGTATTTCAACTGCACACACACAATGAAATGGGACCCAGGATATTCCAGCTAATCAAATGCTCATTGATAATGGAACGCTCATCTGCATGAATGCGCAGGGAGACCCATGCACAATGCTTTTGTTAATTACGAGCAGGATGGGCATTTGTGTAACATCACATTACATCACATCAACAATTTTATACGAAATGACCTTTGACCTGGACTATTGCATCAAGATGCCAAACTGGCTTACTCATCTTTCCTACTACATGTATGTGTCCAAAAAAAGGTGTCCTACTTTTGATCCTGCATAATTTGGTTGTTTAGTAATGGAATTAAACCAAAATTTCAGATCATGTAAACGAAGCATGACAAATTTTATGGAATGAGTTTTATCAGCTTCGTGCAAGATTTAAATGCCAGACACGTTCAGTTTCAGAATCTACAACTTTCGACTTGGTGTCCTCCAATGTCAATACAGCACTGGAGACACTGGTGGAAGGCTGGTGCTGTGGCCGAGAGCTTCTGAAGGAATGCAGGATCAGCCCGGATGTTATTGATCCTGGAATGCAGGATCAGCCCGGATGTTATTGATCCTGAAATGCAGGATCAGCCGGATGTTATTGATCCTGGAATGCAGGATCAGCCCGGATGTTATTGATCCTGGAATGCAGGATCAGCCCGGATGTTATTGATCCTGGAATGCAGGATCAGCCCGGATGTTATTGATCCTGGAATGCAGGATCAGCCCTGATGTTATTGATCCTGGAATGCAGGATCAGCCCGGATGTTATTGATCCTGGAATGCAGGATCAGCCCGGATGTTATTGATCCTGGAATGCAGGATCAGCCCGGATGTTATTGATCCTGGAATGCAGGGTCAGCCCGGATGTTATCGATCCTGCATTTCTTCAGAAGCTTGAGGTGGCAGCACGCTCCTTCCTCCATCGTCTCCAGTGCTGTGTCAACGTTCTGAAAGTGAGTAATGTTTTTGTATGGTGTTTAAATCCCACCCTCTTGCACAAAGCTGAAGAAAGTCGCTCCATAAAATTTGTATTGCCTTCTTTTACAAGATCTGAAATTTGGTTTAATACCATTGTTGAACAGGGATATTTAAAATCAAAAGTAGGAATCTTTTTTTGACACATGGTGTATGGTATTTCAGAATACATGTAGTTTGCATTTTCCAAATAAATGTACGATTCCTTTTGGTGTGACATAGAATCTTAGCAAAATTGAATAAGGTTTTTAAGTAAGCATCAGTAGAATTAAACATACTGCGCATTGCTGGTTTAGTATGAGTATGACATTGACTATTTCAAGGCCTGTTTGTGTACATAGTTTATACTCTTAACTGTCATAATATAAATCTATTTGGAGATAAAACATAATATGTAACATTTCTCCTTCCTCATATAGCTATATATACACCGTGCAAATGTAAGTATAGATTTAAATTGTATTATTATTTACCTTTTGCAGAATCCATTATTAAAAAGTAAAAGCCTATGTGCCGGTTAGAATGGATAGATCTGTAGTCAAAGACATTTCTGTGAGTTTGAGACATTTGAAGTATCCCAGCCACATGGGCATGATGGGGCTCATTTAACGCAGTGGCTATTGTCACGGCAGTCATAACCCGATTATCAACAGCTTTCATTATGTTACTATCTGGTTCCCTGACCTAATAGTATTCAACGTCAAAATCTTCACAGGGACCGCACACGAATTACCAGCAAACATCGATCTCTGCAGCTGTCATGCAACAGTGAGCAACATTTGTTTCTAAGTTGCCACGTAATCCTCTGTGGGTTTATGCTGATCAGAAGGTATTACGGGTTGGGGTGATTTCCACATGTTATTGGTCGTCATTACGATTTGTGGGGTCCAAGTTATCCAGACTATTTGGACAGGTTGTAAATGTGACTGATATACATTCACAATTGTGATTTTGCAATACTGTAACAATAAGCCTCCAGTTATCATGGTTATACTCCCACGAGGATGTTTTGGAGGTGTATTCTAGTTTCTACCAAGTACAAGGACAGTTGAAAATCGGGTTACAGTTGCTGTAACGATAGCCACTAAAACTTTCACTTTTTTGGAACAGCCGTACTTTGACCATTGTGGATGTCGGGGGGGGGGGGGGGGGGGGGTGGATACATGTTATGATGCGCAAGGCTCCAGAAAATATAAACAGATACAGGTGCATACTTCATCATTCATGATCTGATCAAGTTGATCATGATGATCCAAACCCGTCCAGTGATTTCAGACAATCCTTTTACTACTAGTTACAGCTCACTTGATCTGACCAATTCTTCCCACATGCAGAAAGATTCCATGGCATGTCATTAAATGAAATCGCTAAACATCAGTACTTTTGGCAGAATTTATTTTTAACACTAATACCAAAAATGGCACAAATTAGTTGACAACGAATTTATAATTCGCGCGTTTGTTTACAAATTGACTGGCCTGTCGCAGTGAAACGTGTTTGGCGCCCTCAATATTGAGGGCGCCAAACACACTTCACTGCTTGACTCAATCCACTATCGAGGGCGCCATACACTCTGGCCTGTGTATGCCATGGCCAATTTTCTTTCAAAACAGGGCGCGCTAAACAAATTATAGTGAAGGTTGCAGACCAGTAAATAAATTTCCATAAACTCCAATGATAAAATAATGCCCATACTCCAGATATTCAGGAATAATGCGCAAAACTCTCCAAGGCGTTCGATTTTCGGGGGTAAACTGATGACTTTTAGGAGAAATGTCCAGCCGAGGATGATCACCCCTTAAAATAATCCTGAAGCCAATCGCCATTTTGAAAAACGATACTTGCACTCCGTTGCAAAATAGAGCACTAGCAGGGGCCCCAATTTCCATGGGCGTCGCGAGGGGGGGGGGGAGGAACTATGGGGGCGCTTGCGCCCCCCCCCCCGGACAAGCAAAAAAAAAAAAAAAAATGGAGAGAATAAAGAAAGAAAGAAGAAGAGGCGCAAAATCATATTGTTGTAAATTTAATGGGTGGGGTGTGGGGGCAGTGGCGTAGCCAGGATTTTTTCGGGGGGGGGGGGGGGGCTGGAACATTTTATGGGGGCGTCATGTAGATCAATGATAATTTTTTTAGAAACTCAAAATTTCGGTGGGGGCGACTGGGGGGGGGGGGGGGCGACAAGGTTTCATGGGGGGCTGTCGCCCCCACGCCCCCCGTGGCTACGCCACTGGTGGGGGGGGGGGGGGGGGAATGTCACTGCCCACCTTGAACAAATGATCAATCCGGAAAATGCTGGAAAGTATAGGGATATTTTTGGTGAAAAATTTGCTTTGCCCCCTCTTGAAGAATTCGCTCATGCCAATTTCATCCAAATGCACAGATCTACAAGCTCACAGTCCTGTACACGGCTTCTACCCTTATTTTTTTACAAGCCCTCAAGTTCATGACCCACACTGTGCTCAAATATCAAAGATTTTGAGGGCATGCAAAATCGTGATTTGGCCGGCGTAGGCAATTTTGGACCGATTTTTTTTAAATACTGGCCTGCACTCACAGAAGTTTTGGTGGTGGTCACCAGTATTTTGTAGCGTGCCCTCTTTTGGAAGAAATTGATGTTGGTAAAATGTACGGGAGTACGCGCTCTTACATACTCACACTGTCGTTTTTGTTTTTGTTGTATTATTTTTTTCTTGAACGGTTTCTGTCGAATTTGAACTGTATTGTGTCGTATATCACAGTCAATTATGGGACGCAATTTCAAATCAGTGCAATGTGTTTTTTCTGGAGTTATTGTCTCCACAAAGTGTGCTTAATTGTTGTTCCATTAATAGTGGCCCGAATTCCAATTGAATTTTTCGCGATTAGTACACTGTATTTAAATCATATTCAAGTTAGTCTTTAATGAATCCTGTCGATTTTCAAACCGTGTGTTTTCTATATCCCGAACAATTATTGAACGAAATTTCAATTCAGTGCACTGTGTTCTTCTTGAGTTATCGTCTCCACAAAGAGTACTTTATTTTTTGTTCCATTAAAAGTGACTCGAACTCGAATTGATTTTTCTCGCGATTAGTACACCGTATTTCATTAAATCATATTAAATTTATTCCTTCACGGTTCTCGTCGAGTTTCAAAAAAGTGTGTTTTTGTTCACTTAATGCCGACTTCGTTTGCCATGGGCAGATCGTGATCCATGTTGACGGGGTTACAGACCAGTAAATAAATTTCCATAGACCCCAATGATAAATGCCCGCACTTCAGAAACAAGTCAGGAAAAATACTCAAAACTCTCCAAGGCATTCGAAACACACATCAAATTAAAGCTTACTTCATCATCTTTCATTTTCTTTTCAATTTTTGGGGGTTCAACTGATGACTTTTAGGATAAATTTCCAGCTGAAGATGATCACCCCATTAAAATAGTCCTGAAGCCAATCGCCATATTGAAAAACGATGCCTGCACTCCATTGCAAAATAGAGCGCTTTTAGGGCCCAAATTTCATCCAAATTGCACAGATCTACAAGCTCACAGTCCTGTGCACGGCTTCCATCCTTATCTTTTTTACAAGCCCTCAGGTTCATGGCTCACAACATGCTCAAATACCAAAGATTTGGAACTTTTGTCTACACGGAGAAAACTCTTCTACTTCTACTTCTACGTTGATACTTGGCAAAGTCCCACCACACCAAGGTTGCGCGTAAGACCTGCTTACCGTATACTCGATAACTCAATATCCATTTTGTCGAATTGAAATGTCTTGTGAATGTTCGTTACATTATTACACATTTCTCTTGAATGTCGAGAGAATTCGTCAAAACAATAAAACCAAAACAATCAGTATCTTGTACGTGAAAAATCAGAAGAGGGCACGCTAAAATAGCGGTCACCACTGTAAAAAAAAAAGTCACTGGTAAAAACCTGCCTAGTACTACAAACACAATACACTCGTTTCCAGACGACAACTCAAGGAACACCCGTTCTATTGAATTTTATCCAATTATTGGTGTTAATTATATTAAAACTTTTTCTTGAATATGAAGGGAATCACCAAACAATAAAAAGTGATTTCGCGCTGAAGACACTATTCTTTGAAATATATATATATATTTTTAAAGTTTCTTGGTACACTGTTTTTTTAAATATTTATAAGACGTCTTTGATTACAGGCAATTAACAGAAGTAATTTCAATGTGATCAACAGATTATTGACTTCGGCAAGGCAACCTGCAACCAAAATATTGTTTTTTTTTGTGGTTTTTTTGGGGGGCATGGTCTATAATTATATGCTGCATAATAATACACAAATTCACAGGTTTGGTTTAGCAACTCCGCGATGGCGAAGTTGAAATGCGTAGTTCACGTTTTTATGTTGGGGGGGGGGGGGGGGGGGGGGCAAGGGCGGATCCAAATCACCACTTTTTTTGGGGGGGGGCCCAAAAAAATTTTGGTCCCCCCAAAAAGTGGGTCAAAAAAATTACAGCGTGGGGTTCGGGCCCGTTTAAGGGCCCCGAAATTTGATTCTAGATGCTCTGTGGTGCGATCTGAGGCAATTTCTGACCACTTTAACCATTTTTTTTTGAGGAAAAGATGGTGGTGTACTCATTGCCTGCCTTTATTGCGATATCACATAAAAAATAAAAAAAATGGTTTCTTTTTTTTGGGGGGGGGGGGGGCATGGCCCCCTTTGGCCCCCCCCCCCTGGATCCGCCCTTAGGGGGGGGGGGGGTAATCTGATAACTTTTGGGACACGTTGCCTGCCGAAGATGACCACCCCAGTCTAAAAGTGGTGGCGAAGCCAATTGTCATCTTGATAAAAATGATCCCTACACTCCTTTGCAAATATAAAGCCGCTATAATCATTACAGTGGTCTCGATCTCCACCAACAAACTCGATTTGGGGCCAACAACTCATAAATACACGTTAGATTGTTACGATCATATTATATGTATAGCTCCACGGTTTCTCACGCCATTCAAACTACTTATGCTACACATCGTGAAAACTAATTGCACGAAATTTCAATTTAATTCATTTTGCATTTCTTGAGTAGTTCATCGGAAACGAGGTTGTTCTTTTTGTTCAATTATGCAGCATCCGTGTTGATGCATTGTAGAGACCACTATTTATGTAGCGCGCCCTCTATAGAGTGCTCGATCTCCACCACCAAACTCGATTTGGGGCCAACAACTCAAGAAATACACGTTACATTAAAATGAATTTTCGTACACTCATTTGTCATGATGTTTGACATCAAAAGATTTATTTTCATAAAAAAGTCAAATAATCAAGCTATTATAAGTTATAACCGTAACAATACAGGGTTTTAATTGCGACAATACAATCCAAATGGAAGTCAACATGGATTTTTAACATTTAAAACACTAGCTTGTTACGATCATATAATATTTATAGCTCCACGGTTTCTCAAGCCATTCCAACTACTCATGCTACACATCGTGAAAACTAATAGCACGAAATTTCAATTTAATCCATTTTGTATTTCTTGAGAAGGTCATCGGAAACGAGTTTGTTCTTTTTGTTCAATTGTGCAGCATCCGTGTTGATGCGTTGTTGAAAAAACTATTTATGTAGCGCGCCCTCTATTGAACGAAACTTAAAATATTCAACACCGTGCGGATGTATACTTCTTGGCGGTTCACTTATATACGGTTCGAGACCACTAGTTTTAGGCTAGCCCCATAAATGTGGCCTATTTACTGGACTGCCTCCGTAAACATAGGCCACACATCCACATGTACAAAAATCGTGTCGACGGAGCCAAATTTTGATTTTCACATTTAGGCTTAGTTTGTAGGTTTTTTTTGCTTTAGAAGCATACTCACCCTCTTTATAGGCTAATCAGAAAGTGCTGCCTTTTTCAGATGTATATTTTTCGTGAAATTTCCAGATTCATTTTTACACGTTTGCGTATCAAAATTTCAACATGAAATTTCACAAAAATTAGACATCTGAAAAAGGCAGCACTTTCTGATTAGCCTGTAAAGAGGGTGAGTATGCTTCTAAAGCAAAAAAACCCTACAAACTAAGCCTAAATGTGAAAATCAAAATTTGGCTCCGTCGACACGATTTTTGTACATGTGGATGTGTGGCCTATGTTTACGGAGGCAGTCCAGTAAATAGGCCACATTTATGGGGCTAGTTTTAGGCCAAAAAAAAAATTAGTCGTCTCAGACCGAAGTTCCGGAATTGACGCGGCGACGCGGGTTTTATTTATTTTTAATTTAATTTTTATTTTTTTTAAAGCTTACGGTACAGACAAGGTGGGTACTATTTTGCTTTTTGTGTCCTCATTATACATTGGTGTTCTCCATAATTTGCCTTGGTGCCCTTTATCATTTGCCTTGGTGCAATTTCCCCATTGCTTGGTGCTCCTTGGTACACAAAATTTGAGGAGGGGCAGCAAAAGAGGGCGCTGTTGTAGCTTCCGTGTTAATTTGGGGAAAAAAAGGTTGACGCGCATGCTTAAAATCGACGCGCGCTGACCAGAGATTGATATTTTTTGGGGGGGGCCTTATCATGGAGGTAGAATTATGCAGCGCGCCCTTTCTCGAAAGAAATTTTTCAGTTGTTTGACGGTTTCTCACGAAATTTAATCTCCTTATGTAAGACATCAAGACAGACCACTCGCTGAACTTACAACTTAATGGGCGGATCCAGGAGGGGGGAGCAAAGGGGACCATGCCCCCCCCCAAAAAAAAAACCAATTTTTTTTTTTTTTTTTTGATGTGACGTCGCAATAAAGGCAGGCAATGAGTACACCACCATCTTTTCCTCAAAAAGCATTGGTTAAAGTGGTCAGGAATTCCCTCAGATCACACCACATCTAGAATCCAAAAGTTTTTCGGGGCCCTTAGCGGGCCCCGAGCCCCAAGCCGTAATTTTTTGACCCACTTTTTGGGGGACCAATTTTTTTGGCCCCCTCCCCCCCCCCCCCCCCCCCCCAAAAAAAATGTGTTCTGAATCCGCCCTTGGGGAAACAGATACATGTATGGGATGTTTTCTACACAGCTTGGTTTGTGCGTTTATAATGTCTGTGGGTGGTTTGCGCAGTCAATGAAACGTGTTTGGCGCCCTCAATATTGAGGGCGCCATCAAACGCGGTTACACGCAGGTGGCTGGTGTGCAGTTTGTTTACTTGTCTGCGTTTATCATGGGTCTTACTTTGGTCGAGACCCTTCCACTCCAGTTTCATTCTCATATTTCATTATCATAATTCTCGTTAATATTCATAGGACTGAAGACATGGTGTACAAGTTACCTCCGTCACTCCGTTCCTTTGGAATATATTCAGCGTTAACATCAAGTGGACTTTGCTGAGTACCTGCGTACGTATGTCTAGCAAACCGGCGATCGCCTGCTTTTGATTATACGAAGTGGCTATCGTTACGTCAGCCGTTGTTTAGCGCCCTCTACGATCCTTTTTTGATACGCACGCAGGTATATAATTATTTGTTTCCCTACGATGTTTTAGCGAGCAGTGCAGTGCGACAGCTCAGTCGATAGAGGGTAGGATTTTGCACCGCGAAGTTGCGGGTTCGCATCTCAGTTTTGCACTCGAATTATTTTTCATTTTCTAACTTAAGGCTTTGGAGGATTTTTTTTAAAAGGGAAATAAAGTCCGAATTTCATAACGTTCAAATTCACTTTTTTCCTTCTAATTTTTATATTTTCTTCTCATGTTTTTATAAAAGTTGCAGTCTACCGTAACGATAGTAAATGGGAAATGCGTTACGGCTGCCGTAACAATAGCCACTGCGTTTATTATAAAGGTGATTTTTGCGCAAAAAAACATTTTTGACTAATTTGATCAAAACAAAACAGGGGGCCTACAATTCACGATCGCCAGCAAACCTTCACGTGGGCTTGATTATCTTCTGTTGTTGGTTGAGCCAATGTCATGACGGTGGTGCAGGGGGAAGTCAACCAACTTTCCAAGGTAGAAAAATTCCCTTAACAATGTCACTTGTCAGTTTTTGCCTCACTGGAAAAAAATGTTGCAACCTGATGCAGTGATGGCTGATGCCACTTCTGCGATAGTGTGTGTGTGGGGGTGTGTGGGTGTGTGTATAAAGTCTATGGACATGAATGAGAGTCAAGAAAAATTGCTGAGTTATTTTTCCTAACACAATTGGGAATGTTTCTCAGTGCATGCAGTCCTAGATTTATGTTGTCTATCAGTATCATCATTTTGGCGATCATGTATAGTGTAGGGCCCCTGTTTTGTTTTGATCAAAATTAGAATCAAGAATTTTTTTATTTCTAAAAAATGATGTTGTCAACCTTAAGCAGACTTCTCTCAATGTAATGACACCTTTTTGAATTTGGTAATTTTTAACATAACGCCTTCAAGAGAGAACTGCACAAAGACAGAAAATGTCTCATTTTCTTATGATTACTGTTATTTTTGCTCAAACAGGTGATAAAAATCAACCAACCAGTTCTCTTGGTTGGGGAGTTATTTGGGTGGTAACGAAGCAGTGGACCAGGCAATCAGTCGAGCACACCATTGAGACATGGATCAACCTCCACTGATTGACGGAGTTGTGCTGACTAAGATTGACACCATTGATGATAAGGTAAGTAGCGAGTTTGAGTCCTGTATGGGCTTGACCTTGGTTCAATTCCTCTTTTGTTTCAAGGTGTAGCCTTAGTTATCCTTGAATGAATTGAAAAGTCTTTGGTTCAGATCCTACTGCTTGTTTCTTTTTAAGTTCGATTCCTTTTTATTTCAAGTTGTAATCTCAGTTATCCTAGTTGGAATTGAGGAGTATTTGGTTCATACCTACATGTAGTCCGAAAATTTGGGACTCTCAATATAATATACATGTATGGGGCATTCATCCAACATGAGACAGAATTGTGCACAGCCAAAAAAATAAAAAAATAGTGGGTCTCTATCTGGTCAGACCAAAGTTCTGGAATTGATGTAGTGATGCGTTTCAAAAAATATTCTTTGCAATTTTTTCCCCAAGCTTGGATTGTACAGACAAAGTGGTCCTGTTTTGCTTGTTTGAGTTCTCATATGGTGTTTCATCCTTTGCCTTGGTGCCCTATCATTTGCCTTGGTGCCCTTGTGTTGGTGCTAAAAAATTGAGGCGGTGCAGCAATAAAAGGCGCTGTTGTAGCTACTGTGGAAAATGTTAAAGAAATGATGCAATAGATCAAAATTGACGCACGACTATTTTTTTGAGGGCCTAATTGAGAATAATGCAAGTGGGGGATTTTTGTTTTCTTTTTTATTTTCAGCTTGAGTGATATTAATAACCTTTGATATGTCACTACTTATATTTTAAGGAAATAGTATAAAAAATATGGAGTAAGGTCTAAAGCATGTTTAAAGTAAAACCAATGGGCTTGTTTCATTGTTTTTGTCATGTAATGCTGTGGCAGGGTGAGGTTGGGTAGAGGGCGCTATTCATGACTTTCTTCTGTCACCTTGCAAGATGTAATGATGCCAAGTCACAATAAATTTATATTTCTCGGATTCGTTTGTATCACAGATATGTACAACCAGGCCTCCTATCCTATCTACAAGGATGCGACTAATAAGGGAGCAATTTTTTTAGACGCTTTTTCTTCAGTGAAACAAGAATTCATTCTTAAAAACTCCAAGAGTTCTCGGAACCATGCCAATTTGCCAATCAGTATTTATAGGACTCAGCTATCATCAAATTCAGCTCGAAAACTGGAAAATACAAATGTACTTGTCAGCCCAGGCTGTACATAAACTCCCCCATTTCTTAACTGGACTTAATTGAGTTTTTATTATTATTATTATTATTACATGTATTATTATTATGGTTTATTTATTTGAATTAAAAGCAGGTCATAGGCTGAAAACATTCAAATTTACAATGTGTTTTTTAGTTAAAAACTAATTAAAATACAATCAATACATCTTTAAATTGTAAATTAAAAGGTACAAATCAAAACGGGAGAAATTATTCATTATCATTAACAGACTTCTAAAGATTGCTAAGATAAGACATTGCTGATTAAAACTGAGTGTAAAACTATTTAAAATTATCGTTAAAAAATGAGAGTGGATCACAGAGGCTTTACTTATTATTGACAGATCACTAAAGACTGATGGATCAATTATAATTCACAGAGCTGAGTTATACAGACAATTCTTGGATTTTTTTTTCTATTTTCACATACAGACTTTGTTGCTAGTTTAAATGCTTTGGATGCACACTCGCTTTGTTACAAGCAAATAGCAAAATAACCCTTATTTAGGCGTCCACTTTTCATACAATTTCCAGAGCAAAGTTTGGAGGCTGGTTTGTACACGTTTGAGTGTAACTAAATTCCAACATACCATGGCAATGGTAACAGGCAAGCATGCTGACTCGTTAGCTGTCAGTCACGCAGTGTGTAGCCTTTAGTCAAGTCCCACGCACCTACCCGGACACGTGAGGCACCCCAGATGCTGACACGTAAAAAGACTAGCACGAGTGGCAAAGCCGCGAGGGCCTTTACCATCTCGTGGAGAATGCTTATGTTTTTCCTTACATTTTGTCTACCGATTTGGTAGACATGCATTATGCATTACCCGTTGTGAATTGACCAATGACAATGCAGAATTACTAATGTAACTCAGCCGTCGTCTGGCACCAGACAGCAGTATCAAACATTTTTCCCAAATTGACAATATTGAAATTTCTTGACCAGGTGATGGCAGTTCTACCAGCTCTCTTCACATCAAAGAGCTCTCTTGAGAAGCACTATAGAGGCACTATAAGGCCCAGGAGAAGGACTGCTCCTCACAGCGAGAACAGACTCAGACCAGAGCTCCCTTGAGAAGCACTATATGGCCCAAGAGTAGGACCGCACCAAGTACACATCACTACACCTTGCTGGTGCTTCATCACAGGGATGGAAGAGACTCAGAACAGAGCTCCCTTGAGAAGCACTATGCGGCCCAGGAGAAGGACTGCACCAAGTACATCACTACCTTGCTGGTGCTTCGCAGGGATGGAAGAGACTCAGAACAGAGCTCCCTTGAGAAGCACTATACGGCCCAGGAGAAGGACCGCTCCAAGTACACATCACTACCTTGCTGGTGCCTCGCAGGGATGGAAGAGACTCAGAACAGAGCTCCCTTGAGAAGCACTATGCGGCCCAGGAGAAGGACCGCTCCAAGTACATCACGACCTTGCTGGTGCTTCACAGGGATGGAACAGACTCGAAGTACTGCAAAGTAAGACTTTTTCATATTTGAAGAGAAAATGCTCAAACTGTACTTTAAAACGGTCGAGGGATTAACAGCAAAAGATCTTTCTTGCCCGATTTTTATGCTGAGCTCAATAAAACTAAAACAGAAAAAAAGTGGAAAATCTGTCAAAAGCAGGAGTTCATCACACGAAATTTTTTGGGGACTTTTTGATTGGGTACGACCCGATCACCTTTTTTAAATGGTAAGAATGATTCTTTGGGTTTTTTTTCTGGACAATAATTCTCAGTGGGTTTTCTCCTAAATGTACGTAAACTCGCTTGGCCTTTACTTCCGGGCTACTGGAAGGTCAAAGTTGGGTGAATTTAAATTACAGACAGAAGCCTCAAAATCAAAACGAACCACATCTTTTCCAAACTGTTCACGTGATGCTGATAAAACCTAGATGGAACTTGAACCCTGGTCCGAAGATGTGAAAGGAATTGTGGCATCATCATGACATCACCTGGTATCAAATTACAAGCGGGTTACTTGAGAGCTTACTTTTAATGATTTATAACTTTATATTGGAACAGAGTAGCGTTCTCATTTTTTGTTGTTTCAGACATTGCCACTGGCAATTTTATTCCCAGGCGCAAACCATTTGACCTTTACTTCCGGTGTAACTGGAAGTGCAATGATAATTAAATATAACTTGAAGATGGAATCATTTTGCTACAGTTATATAAATTACGCAAATATTTAGTGAGGAATGTCCAACACAAACATTGGCGTGATGACGTAATTACATGAAAGGGCGACCTCTAGCGGTACGTCAAAAGATCTATAGATGGAATGTTTGAATTTAAAAACCATTCGTTACAATTTTACAAAATTGCCTCTAGATATTAATTCTGTTTACAACCTTTGGAGAAATTTGGAAGGTTTCAGAATCGTGACAACATTCGACTGGAAGTTATTGTACTACAGAGAAGTGAAAAAACGATCAGTTTTCTTTTCTTTAAATTTAAATTCGTCATTTAATCCGTGTCCACTATGTTTGTACTTTATGTACTTCATGAACTTTTAACTTTGCACATAATTATATCGACCCTGATCAAAATCAAAACGAACCAAATTTCTTCCAAACGGTTCATGGGATTAATTGTTGATGTCGATTTGTAAAAAATGTACCGAGTAAAGTGTAGATTACACTTTAACAATAATGTGACGTCACAAAAATATTTAATAATACAAACACTTCAACATTCATTACAATTCCTTTATTTTCACAAATTCTTTTTACTTATAGATGAACATGTATTTTCTCTTAACTAAATCAGTATTCAGTTTGCGTATTTTAATTTATAATTTATGAAACCGGAAATTCCATGTATTTCTACATATTACATTTTCTAAACTCAAATTTATCAGACTCCAAACGATTTTTTTCTCCAAAAATAAAACAAATCATACTTCTCAGAGGGTGAAATTTTGTGATCCTCTTTCTGTTACGATATTCACAAGTACACTGGGCACGTTTCTATGAAAATGTCACCCGATCACCCTGCGTTTGTAACTCAACAAACGCAAATCTCTAGTTATTTTTACATTTGAATGCATTGTACCTGATGCTCACGCGAAGAAGCTCTGGATTTGTGCAAATCCAGAATAAAATTAATCTTGTGTATTTCACGCCATATGCGCGGGCACTAGTACGGTACACGCAATGTGTCTCTCCAACTAGGGCTCTCAAAAGTTGTCAAAAAGGGACAATCTACTGTTCGTGCACGTAATCTTTATAATCAGCCTAGATAAACATGCACCTAGGGCTTAATACTTTTCAATTATATTCTCAAAGGCGGTTTAAGTTAAAAACGTATACTATTATCAAAAATGCACTCAAATTTGATCAAATTGTCTACTCAGATTATTGCAAACCAATAGTGTCACCAGGATTACCCTTTACATCTTGCTCTTAACTTTCCAGGTTGTTAACTTGTTGAATGCCTTGAACACGCTGTTCGACGCCATCATTTCCAACTATGACGTCTACAAGGTAAATATTCCATATGACCCAGCAGATTGTTTTAACCAGTTCGCGCTGGACTATTTTGACATTGACCAGACCAAGACTTGGGATTGTTTTCATGAATCTGGATGCCAGACGGCTTCAGGCTGTCATCTACGGGTAGCTCGCTGCAAGCCGGCCACTGACAGACATTTTAGGCCTCGCTTGTTGCGTGTTTATCCATCATCCATTCCGATTACTGCAAAACCTTGCGTGTATTCACATTGTCTGATGTGAACTGGTTAAGCCAAACGTGCCATATCACAGGAAGTTATTTTAAAGGGTACTTGCAATAGATTATACTTAGTACACTTATCCAGGTTCATTTATTATGGTTAATATGCAAACATGAAATGATCAACAATACATTGACAGAAAGCACCTTACCCGTTACTGCTTGGCTTGATTCTACCATCTTAGATCTGTTTTACTTTCAGAGTACTTTACAAGCTATGCTTATAATTTGTAGTCTTGCATATTGACTGCTTCAAGTGGCATTATAAAACAGGTCTAGGAGGCTACCGGTAGTTTGATTATGCCACTCAAAGTAGTCAGTATTAAAATGGAAGGTGCCATAGTCCTTTTAGCCATGAACATGTAGACGGAAAATAGCAAATACTATGTGATGCACACTCTCGGCCACTGAAAAACACAGAATCTGTGGGTGCGGTGATATCATTACAAAAAGTCACTTGCATTATCATTGTCAACATTACTCGGCTGTTCGCAGGCGTAGTCATGACAATCACTCAGAGGTTAAGTTGATGCTACCATGGTTACTAGTTCAGGCAAAAACCACGCAAATATGTATGTTCTATTATAATGTCTGAAAGCAAAATTAACCAGTGTTAAATAATAACATCTTGCCAAGGTTGAAAGCATCGACGATGCCTACATGTTGGTCTCTTGCCTACTGATCCGTAATGGCAGCCGTCATGCTGGTATGATTGTCTCCGCTGCATGGCATCTCCTGCAGGGCGTTGATAGTTGATCATGCCACACAAACTGACAAGATGAGAAACTCAAACTCCTCATCGGTATTCACTCAGGTAAGATCATTGTCTTTGCTTGTGGTCGAGATACTTAAGATTGATAAATCACAAGTACATCACAAGTCCAGTCACAAGTACATCACAAGTCCAGTCACAAGAACATCACAAATCTAGTCACAAGTACATCACAAGTCCAGTCACAAGTAAATCACAAGTCCAGTCACAAGTACATCACAAGTCCAGTCACAAGTGCATCATAAGTCTAGTCACAAGTGCATTACAAGTCTAGTCACAAGTACATCATTAGTCTAGTCACAAGCACATTACAATTTCAGTCACAAGTACATTATAAGTCTAGTCACACGTACATCACAAGTCCAGTCACAAGTTCATTCACAAGTACATCACAAGTACATAACAAGTCCAGGCAAAAGTACATCACAAGTCCAGTCACAAGTACATCATAAGTCCAGTAACAAGTACATCATAAGTCCAGTTACAAGTACATCACAAGTCTAGTCACACATGCATCATAAGCCCAGTCACAAGTACATCACAAGTCTAGTCACAAGTTTAGTCACAAGTACATCACAAGTCCAGCCACAAGTACATTACAAGTCTAGTCACAAGTACTTCACAAGTCCAGTCACAAGTACATTACAAGTCTAGTCGCAAGGATATCACAAGTCCAGCCACAAGTACATTACAAGTCTAGTCACAAGTACATCACAAGTCTAGTCATAAGTACATCACAAGTCTAGTCATAAGTACATTACAAGTCCAGCCACAAGTACATCACAAGTCTAGTCACAAGTACTTCACAAGTCCAGCCACAAGTACATTACAAGTCCAGTCTCAAGTACATTACAAGTTTAGTCACAGGTACATCACAAGTCCAGCCACAAGTACATTACAAGTCTAGTCACAAGTACTTCACAAGTCCAGCCACAAGTACATTACAAGTCTAGTCACAAGTACATCACAAGTCTAGTCATAAGTACATTACAAGTCCAGCCACAAGTACATCACAAGTCCAGCCACAAGTACATCACAAGTCCAGTCACAAGTACATTACAAGTCTAGTCACAAGTACTTCACAAGTCCAGCCACAAGTACATTACAAGTCTAGTCACAAGTACATCACAAGTCCAGTCTCAAGTACATTACAAGTTTAGTCACAGGTACATCACAAGTCCAGCCACAAGTACATTACAAGTCTAGTCACAAGTACATCACAAGTCCAGTCACAAGTACATCACAAGTCTAGTCACAAGTACATCACAAGTCCAGCCACAAGTACATTACAAGTCCAGCCACAAGTACATTACAAGTCCAGTCACAAGTACATCACAAGTCTAGTCACAAGTACATCACAAGTCTAGTCACAAGTACATTACAAGTCTAGTCACAAGTACATCACAAGTCCAGCCACAAGTACATTACAAGTCTAGTCACAAGTACATTACAAGTCCAGCCACAAGTACATTACAAGTCCAGTCACAAGTATATCACAAGTCCAGTCACAAGGACATCACAAGTCTAGTCACAAGTACATTACAAGTCTA